AAGAAAAATATTAAACCATTGGTGGAAATACATAAAGAACACTGAATTACCAAGCAGGGGGTAATTCTAAAAACTGTAGAATTATCCCCCTTTAAAACTAAGTAGTGGTTTTGATATACCAAAAATTTGATATATGCCAAAGCTTGACACACTATCAGTTTGTAAAAAAGGTGCTCCAGCAAGAGTCAGTCTTGTGAATTTCTTAATGTCTTTGGTCTTGGTGTCTCCAGAGGGAGGAGATCTTTGAGCATTAATTTTTAGCACTCCACTGAGCACACTCTCTGGCTGACAAACATAATATTATGGTTTCTGGCTTAAGTTGGAGTTGGCGCTCAGACTGTCTCTCTCACATAGGAGTTACAAGGCGTCTCTTTGTGGCACAGCTTCTCTTGGACAGCCAAGTGAATGCTGGCCTGTGATCTTCGGGGATGTTTGGAATGTAAACACAACCGTGATGCGAGCGAGCTCATTATCTATAGGTTTCATCGCAATCTAGCAGCAATAAATTTCTTGTAGTGGATGTTTTTGAATAAAGCATGAAGATATCCTACACTTCTAATCTATATTCATGATAAACTAGCAGAGATGCAACATCACGCAAGGAGCTCATGTTGTGTGTTTGCTTTTCTTTTCCAGGAGAGCCTGAACCCCTGGACCAGCAGAAACAGCAGGTGACTGTGGACGAAGGCACAGAGCTCTTCACCTACAAGGGAAACGATGTGGAGTCCTACGTGGCAACAAGCACGCCCTCTGGTCTCTACCAGCTGGAGTTGCTGTCCACTGAGAAAGACAGCAACTTCAAGGTGTACACCACCACAACTCCAGAGTCTGACCAGCCTTATCCGGAGCTGCCCTACGACCCCCGTGTTGACGTGACCGCGTTGGGTCGCACCACTGTCACGCTAGCCTGGAAGCCGACGCCGACAGGCTTTCTGATGGGCCAACCTGTTCAGTACTGCGTGGTAATTAACAAGGAGCACAACTTCAAAAGCATGTGTGCCGCGGAGGCCAAAATCAGTGCCGATGATGCTTTCATGTTGGCTCCGAAGCCCGTCAGAGACTTTAGCCCCTTTGACTTTGTGCACTTTGGCTTTGTTCCCTCTGACAATGGGTTTGGCAAGGAGAGAGGCCTTACTAGCAACAAGATTTCACGAGCATATTTAGCCAAACCCAAAGCGTCTGACATTCAGAAGGTGTGCATTGGCAACAAAAACATCTACACTGTGTCAGACCTTAAACCAGACACACAGTACTATTTTGATGTGTTTGCCGTGAACTCGGCCACCAACACCAGCACGGCGTACGTCGGAACATTTGCTCGCACCAAAGAGGAAGCCCGTCAGAAGACCCTGGAGCTGAAGGACGGCAAAGTGTCGGACGTTTTCATCAAAAGGAAGGGAACAAAGTTTCTCCGCTTTGCTCCCGTGTCTTCGCACCAGAGGGTGACGCTTTTCGTGCACTCGTGTCTGGACGCGGTCCAGGTGCAGGTGAGGCGAGATGGCAAGCTGTTGCTGTCACAGAACGTGGAAGGAGTGCGGCAGTTCCAGTTACGGGGAAAGCCGAAAGCCAAGTACCAGATCCGCCTTCGAGGAAGCCGGAAAGGGGCGTCCACGCTGAAGGTGCTTGCCACCACGCGGCCCAGCAGCAAGCAACCCTTCCCTTCTCTACCTGAGGACACCCGCATCAAGGCCTTTGACAAGCTGCGCACCTGCTCCTCTGTCACCGTGGCCTGGCTGGGCACACAGGACCGCAACAAGTACTGCATTTACCGAAAAGAAGTGGCCGACAGCTACGGGGAAGAGCAGCGACGCAGGGAGCAAAATCAGTGTGCCGGGCCAGAGACCCGCAGGAAGTCCGAAAAGGTGCTGTGCAAGTACTTCCACAGCCCGAACCTGCAGAAAGCTGTGACAACAGAGACCATCACAGGTCTGGAGCCAGGCAAGACCTACCTGCTGGACGTTTATGTGGTGGGACACAGTGGCCACTCAGTAAGATACCAGAGCAAACTGGTGAAAACAAGGAAGTACTGCTAAATGACTCTGCAAAGAATAAATCTATTATATAAATATATATATATAAAATAAGTTTATTTAACACTAAGTGATATTCTACTAAGAAGTGTACACAGACTGACTACTCATGCAGCTGATGGGCCCATAGTAGAGACTGAACTGTTTGTAGAGAAAGAGAGAGAAATATCAACCTGTATATTTATGTTTACATTTTTATCTCGACGCGTCCGAGAGGCCCGAAGCGCGAGCTGCTTTTCCTACCAGGCTTGTCGTCTCGACATCGAGTTGCCACCAGGGAGGGAGGCAGAACTTCAGCGAAAAATCACATTTCCTCCTGCGTCGGTTCCTGTGTCGCTGCATGACGTTTGCTTTCGTCCGTCACATCCTTCGGTCAGAGTCACGGCGACCGGAGGAGATCCAGAGGCTTCCCGCTTTGTATAGCTCTCTCAACTGCATACTCGTTTCATGTTTTAGGAGAAAATTTAAATTATTTTATACTTTGTGTCTATATTTTTGATCGTCTCTTTTTATTGATGACAGTGTTGGCCGTTCCAGATAATTTCCGGTTTTTATGTGGAAGCTGTAGTTCAAGACATTCCCTTTGTGTATCCCAGCCAGTGTTTTCCTCTAGAGCCCATCTTGTAAATGTATTCGGTTTTGTGCTGGAGATCTGTGTTATTATCACTGTATCACTGTGTGCGTGCGTGCACGTGCGTGTGTGAGTGCGTGCGTGAGTGAGTGTGTCACATGTACAGAGATGTCCTGCCAATATTCATGTACATAAAGCCTAAATATAGAACAAGTAATCCCTGTGTCACCCTGGGTGTCAAGTTCTTTTCACCAAGCAGTTAACATTGCATTCACTGTTACGCTTTAATAACCTTTACTAACTTCCATAACCTGATTTTTATTGTACTCAAAATTTACATCAAAGTAAATGCTTTTATTGAGGTCCAGAAATAATTAATTGAAAAAAATATATATAATTTTCCAGTATTTGACCAACCTATCAATTGGAGTCAATCAAGAAATAGTTGATTGTTCTGTCCAACACATCATTACTCTGCAGTCAGCTAGCATCGTTTGCTTTCTTAACTCATATATAACTTAAAAAAATGACAAATAAAACTAGTACATTATGCCATAAAAAGAGGCCACAATAGCCACAGGGAAAAGCAATCCACTCCCAGGTTTGATTTACTTTTCAACAAACTTGCTGTGATTTGCCACATTTCCGCTACAGGTAAACGAGCAATTACTGATAGTGGTTCACTTACTTGTTTGACAAGTAAGTGAAACAAGTAATGTAACTCAAGTAACTCACTACAAAAAAATACAAACTGACCCTTTACAGCTGCAGCTGGTAACTTCTATAAAACATATATATATATTTTTGCATATTTGTTAAAACTATCGCTATGTTGTGACAGTAGGACACAGATAATCTGAGAAAAGGTCAAGCTTCTCCACTTCCTCCAAAAAAACAAAGAATCAGAGTCAGGAGGAGCATCTCAGCGCTGTCAATCGACCTTGTGAACACGCTGCTAAATGTGCTAATGGCAGAGAAACAACTTGACATGGCTATGGCTATGCTAACGCTGTTGATGGTTTTAGCTTCGCAGAAATCGAGGGAGGGAAGGGCAGCGCTAAGACCCGCCTCCTGGCTCTGATTTGTTGTTTCTAGTTAGCACTGAGAAGGCAGAAGAGCTTGATTTTTTTCACAGATTATACTGTGATACTACACTGTCACAACATAGTGACAGTTTCAACAAATATGTATTACATACTGCAGTTTTAATAAGCTCTATCTCTATGTTGCTTTTAAGCGCAGATGCTATCTGTGGTGTCCTTTTTCGCTAAATTTGCACAATAGAATACATCCAATGCTAGGAACCATGGTCAAATATATGAAACTTTAATTCCATAAAAATATCAAAAGTTGGTCAGCTCTTTCATGTGCTGCAGTGATTACTCCTCTATAGCGGTGACATGGCCCTACATGTCTGTCTCCGCTCCTTGTCCAAACCCATCTACACACACATATATATATATATACAAAACCCATGCATCAAAGCCTGGCTCTCGTTGCTACAGGAAGGATAAACACAGGGAACCCTGCAGATGTAGGCGCTCACGTGGAGGCTTTGCCAGTGGATTTCCTGCAGCACGTTGGTTGCCTCACTCCTCTTGGGCCGAACTAAAAGCGGGACATTTCTATAAGCTTCACAGCTGATACCCTTCACACATGCAGGGGAAAGCATTTGAGCAGAGCTGGCCGGCTTTATTAGCAGGATACCCATAACTCCCACAGCTCTCTGAAAGCCCCTCCGCATTATTCCAGGGCAACGACAGGTTAATGGAAGCCAGGTGGGGCCTCCGCGCATTTCCTGCAACCAGGAGCCCCCGTGACTGACAGCAAACCGTGGCGGTAAATTGGGAGCGCAGCTACCCAAAATCAGAGTCAGGATGGAAACATGGCCGTTTCTTGAGAAACAGCTGCTTTTCTTGGCCGCATTGGACAAGAGTGAGCTTTTCCATCCGCCGCAGACGGCGCTGTACGTGTGGATATGTGGACTAATGTGGGCCTGACCTTTCTCTTCGGAGGACTCAGTTCAAATGTGTCCAACAATGGATTAGACAGACTGCTGTTCAAATTTAAAACTTATTTTTTATTTATTTGTTTTTTAACTCATGAAGAGAGTTAAATTAGTAGAATCTGCAGAATCTGGATCCTTGACAACTTTCCAAGATTTACTTTGAACTTAAATATTTTTTAAAAATAACTCTTTTTATTTATTTATTTTTTTTTTTTTTTAAGTTACCTCAGTGTATATCTGAACAACTTTTGTGATCTAATTGCAGGGTTTGTTCTGTTTTCAATAAACATACGAACAGACTTCCTGGTGTCACACATGTTGGAACTTTAGCATCAAGATCAATTTTCAAAGTGCTTGACAAAGATAGTGAAGATATGAGAAAGGTTCAGATTTATGTGTGTTCAAGTAAACTATTTTTCATCTGACTTCCATGTTAGCAGCAGATATTAACAGTCCCACTGTGGCGCAACATCTGTGTTTCTCCATGAAGTTATCCTGATTAAAACTGAGGGATGTGTGTCACTTGCTGCTTTCCCACTGACTATATAATGGCACAATTTGACATTTTGGAGTATGTTGCTTAATTGAAACATGGCGATTTTGAAAAAACAATGATTTTTGATAAAAAAGGTTTGCTGCTAGGAGGAGGGTGTTTTTTGCTGTTTTGAAATTGGTTTATTTTTCAAAACTGAAACATAAACACTTTCTTTTGCATTACATAAGTCACATGATCAACAACCGGTTGTTGCTACTGGCGCAAACCTCAAAGAAGACAACAACAGGAAGTAGTAGGAGGATCATGGCATGTTTTTTAATGACTTATCACATGAACACACTTATTTACATGGAATTTTAATTGCATTCCTGTTTTTTCGATATTAGGGGACTACTGACAAAGTTTTGTGCATATTTGTAATGGAAATGGAGCTAGTCTGCCAGATTAGTGGTTATTCCTCTCTAGTTCCTCCAAGAATGGGGAAAACCTTTAGGTTTTGCTTCATGATGTCAGTTGTGGAGCAGCATTAAAGATGGAAATTACTTTCTGGGTCTTGCAGGTGTTTAGAAATGATCCTACCTAGTCGACTGGTACAAGCAGAAGGCTCAACTCACAAAACATCACACAAAAATACGGATGTTCGACTAAACAACAGAAAACATGTCTGAATTAGCATTAGCTAACAATACATAGCATTAGCGTACATAGCACTATATCCCACTAACATGAACACTTTCAGTCTGAGTCGTTTGAAGTAATAATTACTTTGCTGTACAGCCACCAGATCCTAATCCAACAGAGAATCTTTAGATCTGGTAAACGGGGATTGCGTCAACGATGTGCAGCCAAGAAATAAAGTCTTTGGAAAAAAGCACTTTCAAAGATCCATTTCTTTCCAAATATTAGAGCTAATGTAGCAGAAAATCTCTGCTTTGCGAAATGTATGCATTAGGGAGGCTAAGGTCAGCCACTCGCTGACTTTAAAGAGCATTTGCACTTTGGCATTTGTGAGCGTGTTTTGTGTACATGAACATAAAATGCACTTGCGGCTCAACTGAGAGCTGAGTGATGCTTTCGAGCACAAGTTGTGAAAAGAGGGCAAGGAACAGACAGACACACTGGGACAGAGCTAAGTAAATCTCCTGCATCAGAAAACAAACACCGTCAGACTGACTGGGGGGATGGCATTAAAGGAGAAGGTGAATTAGAGGGGATTTGAAATAAAAATCTCTCTATAAAGGCAAAACTATAAACATCCACACAAACAGGAAGTATGAGGAGAGCAAAACTGAAATGATTTCACTTCAGCTTCTCTGGGAGATAGATTAATTACTGAAGTATCAAGTCCAACCCAGTTTTCGTCTCCACTCAGCCCTGATTTTAGAGGTTTCAGCTATAAAAAAATAAATAAATTAATAAAAAAAAAAGATTTGAGGCTTCCTTCCAAACCAGTGCTGACCAAGAGCTCCATTCCCAGGAAGGGTGGAGAGGCACCAGTGGCCCTGGGGCATTACTCATCACTGCTGATTACTATTGAGATAATTCATGCAGTTCACAAAAAAAAGAAAGAAAAAAGACTGACTTCACAAGTGGAACTTTCATTCAGTTCTGCTGCATATTAAACTGCAAGGTCGGTTTTATATTTACACCGTTTTATCGCCGTAACCAAATAATCCTGTACACATGAGAAAAATTAAGGGATAAGAACATGGTTGGGGTTCAGAGACGTCTGCACATAAATGGGATTTCAGATTGTGTGTGTGTGCATGCTGCAAGCCTTGCTTACTTCCAGGAGTGCGCATATATATATGTGTGTGTGTGTGTGTGTGTGTGTGTGTGTGTCCACTTGCTGCCACCGCTCCCTCTTGCCTGATCTGCCCAGGGGGTGGTCCCCCCCCTCTGCTCTCTTGTGCTGGTGAAATCACATCTAAGTGCTTGTAATTTCTCATGCTTCATCAGTACTGTAATTTCAAAGGGCTCCCTCTGAAGACCCTCCTTGTAGCGGCGACCTGAGGTTGTCAAATGAAAACATCGTTTATCCAGTGGCCTCGAAGCTTCAGGAAATGGTTTGCCGGCTATTCAGCGGCAGCAGCCTTGAAAAAGGGAGCTGTGGTGAGGGTTTCTGAAACATGAAACAAAAGGTGGTCTGGCCCGTCAATCTACAGTATCAGGTTTGGGAGATTTCAGAAGAATGCACAGATCCATTTGGAAAAATCTCATATGAAACCACTTGTACGTTGGCCAAAGTGAGGTTTTCCCTCAGTGAAAATATTTACTTTGAAAAAAAAAAAAAAGAGAGAAGTCCCGACTATTTATTTCAGCGCAGTTCTTTCCTTTGCTGTGTCTTAAGTGCGCTTTTTCGTTGTCGTTGCAGTTTCTGGCCCTCGGAGGCGCTTAAAGCTCAGCCACCGAGTGACTTGGTTCCAGCGTTCGATTCGTTCGGGTTCAAATTCGACGAGGTGATATTCAAAACCTCTTTGGAATTAGCTACTTGTTGAATGAAGCTTGCACCAAACCAAATCAAAATTCTTTATTATTAGTTAAAAAACTAACTAAACCTTACTTTAACCACATAAATACTCATTGAGATCAAGACCTCTTTCACAAGGGCGACCTGGCCAAGAAAAGCATTATTGGCACACACCATAAAAGGCAAAACAAGTAAACAAAGCTAGCAAAAATAGACATTAGAGATTAAATACATAAAACGTGAACAACTGCACA